TATATATATTCGCATACCTAACCTGCTTTCCTTGAAGTTAGCAGCAGCCCAAAAGTCAATAAAATCGAGGTCTTCCTTTCCCCTCCAGTCCCCTTTGTGTGTGTTCTAAGAGAAGCCCAATGTCCCTCCCGTAACGGGTGTCAAAGAACATCCTGGGCGCTCAGTACAAACGGTTTCCCATTTCTCCTCGTTCGCCTCTTAATTGCTGGTGAAAAATGCCATCCTTATGAACCCACGGCCCCCGTTTTCAGCAACAGCAGGGGTCATGCTGAAAGTGCTCTGACCGGCCCCAACTGGGCAAGAAGACAAGGTGAAAAATGTATTGACAGCCAACAGCCCTGGCTGGAGATCTAATTGACCTTCTGATGAAAACGGTGGTCAGGAAACTTCCCTCGTTGGCCTCCGAGAAAGCTGGCCGACATAGCTATGCACAGGGTACGTGGGAAGGGAAAAGTAGCCTCATTCTTTCCTGCCACAGTTTATGTCCTTCTAGTGGGGGGAAAAAAAATAGTGAAAAAGCTCTCATTGGCACCTTTACTCTTTGCAGGGTATGTCGGGAGGGAAAACGTATCCAGATTGTGCATTGTTAGCCACAGCCAACTGTGTGATAGTTCTGTTTGCAGGGAATGGTCACACGTCCAGAGGGGCATGAAAGCATTGACCAAGCAGACCCTTGGATGCTTTTCCCCTTCACTTCCTAGCTTGAGTTTGACCCAGACTTAACCTCTCTGTTTTCTGCTCCAAAGCCGAGTCATGTTCTGCAGCCATAACATTGGAGTGGCTGAATTAACTTTGGTTGGAAATAAGATGCTTTTCATGATTAAGATGCCTTCGATGATGACACTGACAAGGCTCGCTGACTCTTTGAGTTGGTCCTATGTAACACTGACCCTTTTACTCAGCTTCCAGATGCTGGTTCCCAGCCACAAGGCTAGATGAGAGCCTCCTAACCCACTTCTCTGGGTAGATGACAGATCCCCAGATGTCTTGGGCTCTACTTCTCATCGGTGATCATGCCCAGTGATGAGCATGCCCAGTGACAAAGGCTGACAGGAACTATATTCCAAAGTACCAGTTGGGGGAGATTTTCTACTGGCTTAAAAAGAGTAAATTGATTGCTCTATTTCTATTTCGCTTGGCTTTTTCTCCTTTAGCACACACAGCTATGATCCTTCACTTTCTGCCGGGGCTATGTCTGTTAGGCATCTGGCTCTTATCTTACAAATTGTTTCAGTTGTAGTAGTTGATGTTGTGCCATCATCATTACCGGAGAAGATTTGAAGCCCTTGTCCAATTGGATTGGAGGCCTACCTTTACACAATCCCATGTCCAAATCCTCTAAACTTTGGAACATGTGGTTAGCTGACTTTTTCAGAGTCTAAGGCACACTGGCTCTTGATCCCACAGGCAACAATGGTAGGCATTGTTTCCTCAGACCTGTGAAAACTAAAAAGATGTGGCTTTCCCCCTCTCCAGCTGTGTGGATTTCAGCTGCAGGAATTCTGAGCAATGGTCCTGCTGCCTGAGAAATTCTGGCAACTGAAGTTCACACATCGGATGGGGAACCCAGATTGGAAAGGTTGGCCAAGGAGAACCATCTGAGTTTGCAGAGTTCAAGCATGATTAAACTGGATCTAATCCTGCTCAGGTTTGATCACAGAGATGGCATCCAGTCTGGACACCTGTTGTCCCACCTTCTGGAGGAAGTAAGAACTGTCCCAACTTAGTCTGCTAGATAAGAGGCTACAGCAGCCTAAATATGAGCTATTTGGGAATCAGAAGTGCTTCTAGGGTTCTGACTTATGGCAATGGCAGAGGATGGTCATTTGAGGGAGCAACACAGATTATTAGCATCTGGCCCAGGATTTAAATGTAAAAAATAAATCCTGTAGTCCTCAAGGGAAAGAGAGTGGCTTGACACTTCTATACCTCCTATCTGTTGTTATCTAACCTTTCTGCTAACCCCATAACTTTGACTTTTGTTCTAGCAGAATAAAGCAAATGAAGAGTTTCCCCTAAGAATGAAGGGAATCATTAAATCTTGGGTAACAATGACAGTGGTGTGATCTTTGTATGCTTCGTTGTTTAAAAAAAGTTGTGTTTTTTTTTTAATTTTACCTGTGCAGTTGGGCAAGCTGTGAAATACTGATAAACATATATTATATACAGTCTAATAACAAACACGGGATAGGGGTTGGGGAGAACCTACAAGCATGCAAATATTTTAAAAGGCATCCCTTCCACCCATATACACAAGAGACAGGATGCCAACTGATAAGGTAACCCTATTATCTAACCAACAATGCAAGGAAGGAAAGAAATTAAACCGTGGGTTGTATATTCCTCATCTTCTCAGAGTTGCTTCCGTAACTTCTCTGGGGTGTGCAATGCACAGCTTCCATCACACTGTAAAACTTGTGTTCTTTTAGAGAGTGCTGCACTTTTCAGGCCATAAAGCTTTGAGCCACTTACTCGGAAGTCAGCTCTGTTTTAACTCAATGCTATCTACTTCTATCCAGATACACAGGAAAACTGAAGAGCCTTGCAGATGGTGCTGGACCTCAACTCTGAGCAGCTGTGGTCAGTGATAAGGGATGCTGGTAGCTGTAGGTGAGCAACATCTGGAGGGACTCAGGTTCTCCATCCTTGCTCTGTTGGACTGTCAGAAATGAATGTTTCATTTAAAACACACACCAGATCCGATCACATTTTGCCCTAGCACCAACATATTTCTGTCTGGGTAAACACTGATGGATATTTTTCTCCCCCTCAGCTGCCCCTCCAATCGGTTGCAGCAATTTGTAGGCAAAGCAAAAAGGCTGAAGCGCCACCTTAAACCTTCTCCCCTTCTTCTTTCTTCCTTACAGACAAAAACGAAACACAGGTAAAACCTAAAGTAAACCAAGAGTTACAACCAAATGACACCACAACAGAGGTAGCTGAGGCCTGCTTCCAAAGGATCCTCCAAGACTGAAACAGACCTCTTTGCAGCAACAGTTCTCGTTTCTGTTTCTTTTGAAAGGGTGGTGGTGGGGGGCATGGAGAGGAAAGGCAACCCCCCAACCTGATCCATTTGGCAAGGACGAAAAGGAAGGAAATGAGGAAAGAATTTCAGAACGTCCTTTATGCCCACACCACGTCCTGCCTTATTTTAGCAGTGGACAAAGGGGATCTAGATCTCTAATCCTTCCAGGAGCTACTAGTAATGCAAAACAAAATACCCAAAGCCCACCATTATTTTACCATCTAATGCATAACATCCTGCAAAAATCTCATTTGGGCATTAGAAATAGAATAACTATATGCAGATGTTATTGTTGGACCTAGAAAATCTATCTCCCTAGGGCCACTGTCCAAGCTGCCTTACAAGCAGGGTTTACACTTACTTGAGCAATTGATTTGTAGCAGGTCATGAGAAACCTAGGCCCTAAACTTCTGCATGGCATAACTCACTTCTCTGGTCCTGGCTGGTTTAACTATTGATTCACAGGGTTAAACAGTGCTCTCCATTGTGCACAACCTACTTTCTTCCATAGAATTAAGGGAGGGGGGATAAAACTTTTCCTTCATGCAAGGGGAAAAACCCCTGTGGAATTAATCCTTATTTGGATGAAATGGTTTTAGAGGCCACTTGCCAGGAGGGACAAAATCCCCCATCCAAAGATGAGGAAAGATTGGGGTAGAAAAAGCTGAATCTTTTTCTCCCCGTAGCATCTCAGCTCTTAATTTAACCTAAACACTCCTAAAGGTTCTCCAAAATCACACTATGCCCTTTCTCAAAAAATTCTGGGAATATCAGAGGATAGGTACGTTATGCTACAAGTTCTTGAACAAAGGGCCGTTGTTCAAGTTCTTGTCCCACCCAGAAGCAGAATGCCCCAAACCCGTTAGTGGTGAGAGAAGACCCGCTCAACCAGTAAAAATAGTGGTAGACCAATTGCGTCTTTCCAGAAATTATTGGGCTCCAAATTCCATCAATCTCAGGCAATGTGCTGGCAGTCAGGAAGGATGGGGTCTAACGAGGTGGTTGTTAAAGTCTGGGATGCAAAGATCTCCAGGATTTTATGTTAGCAACGTAAAAGGCATCTCAACCCCAAACTGCAAAGGGCACTTTAACATGAGTGATTTCCAAGGACTCACTCTCTTTCCTCAAACTCAACTCATCCTCATTCTCTCTTTCCTCCCAGGGATTAAATGCTCAGAGATCAGGCAGAGAAAGGGAAGCCAATTTGCTCTGTCATCTGGAGCTCCAAGGCTGTGGTTTGCTCTCACCCTAATGGTATCCAGACACTGCAATGGAGCCATTCTGTGTAAAAACAACAAACTAATACACCAAGTAACAATGTGCTAAATTGTGCCTCCTGTTCCATGCCTGGGCCACTGCAGGCTTGGCGTTTCTTCTTCTGGCCACAGCCAAGGGGAATTGTGGTCACCTTCCAGATTCCCTGCAGAGGAAGGACACCCAAGTTGAAGGAGACTAGGCTTCTGTGTACAGAACGTGATGCTCCAGCAGCAGCAGAGGATGATGGTGGTGGGAGAATGGTGACTCAGCCCTCCGAGACTGACCCCAAAGAGGACAAAGTGGAAGCAGTTAGACAGCAAAGGTGGTTGCATTCAACCCCCCTTCTTTTGCAAAATGGAAACTTCCATGAAAGGTTAATACTAATACTGACAAGTTGATTCATTCAACTTGAAGGTTGGCAAAAAGTCATTTCTCTTTGGGAATGATCCTTCCCTCCATCTGTCACTTATATTTCTGTCTCAGGGACTTTTTTAAATTTTATTTTTATAGCAAAAGAGAGGAAAGAGTCTAAATAGATGAAACATGGGCCCAGAAACAGGCAGGAGGACCTGTCAGTCACCTAGTAGGAATAGGTTGGGTGAGCATCCCTTGGCATTCTTGTCTACTGAAGCTTTGCTACAGGGAATGGAGGCTCTTCAGGTTGGGTGGTGTCCCATTTTCTTCACCAGTGACCCTCACACACCCTTGGAGTGCTGGAAGGGGAGGAAGAAAAGCCAAGGAGGATTTGGAAAGGCAGGCAGTAGATAAAGCAATTTTAAGGCAGACTGTTTGGTTGTTTAGAAGGTTGAACATCACCCTGTTCCTGATACGGGAAGGGAATTCGGTTGTCTGAGAATCTAGCAGCAGCAGAATTAGCAGCACAGCGGAATGGAGATTTGGTTGACCCTCTTTGTCCTCTTCACCTTCTCCCAGGTTCCCTGGCAGCAATGCAGAGCACGTAGCAGCTTCCGCCCTCTTGGCTCTCAGCCTCTTACCACAGGTGTGTCCTCCACAAGAGCTGGCAACATCTTGAGAATGTGTCTCGTTGCTCTCCGGTGGCACGTTCAGCACCAAGGAAAGCCTGGTTCAGCCAAAGAGGTCGTGTCTTTTCTGGAAAAAAAGGCTTGAGGGCTGTGAAAATTTGCTGAGAGAACCAAAGTTGAGCTCCCTTCTATTACTGTGACGTACCTTCTCTCGTGGTCTTTCTTCCTCTCTTCCCTCCCTCCCCTAGTTTCTCTCTATATTAGGTATACATTTATATATGGCTTGTTTCTTGCCGTAATCTGGATCCAGAAAGAAAAAACAAAACTTAACCCCAAAGATGTACAAACCCAAATCTAAAACCATACATAGTTCATACAAGATGGATGCAGTATTGAGTAACACATGCTTGCTTCTTTCCCCCCAACCCGCCCTGAAAAGTCCATTGCAATGCGCTTGTTGTTTTGCTTGTTCTCGCTAGTAAGATACAATTAATACAATATCCTGCTCACCACCCTTTCCCTCTGCCAGAGTTCAGTTCTCCTTGGGCAAAGAAAATTAAAGGCAGACCAGTTGCAGTCTAAATGTCCCTGGTGCAGAAATGCCATGGAGTGAGTCTGAGCTGCTTGGTAGAAACGTTACTGAAAATGAGAGGTGTAATGGTGTGGTTCCTTGCCTGCTACTGGCGGGGATCTCGGTCTCTCTCTCTCTTCTGTGCCTTAGCACTTGGCATTATGCAAAACTGAAGCCACGATGGTCCCGCTGATTGTGCTCTTGAGCATTGGGATCTAAACAAGCACATTCTCCCTGCAGGTCACAAGACATGGGGAAGGGGATGACCTGTGTGGAGAAATAAGGACTGTTGTTGACTTTATTCAGCAAGCTACATTTTGACAAAGCGTGTCACTGATGGTAGAATGGGCTTCATCTCAAGACCATTGAGAGCAGGACTGGAAGACCTTTAGCGGGCAAGGTTAATTGGAAGCCAACATCAGTTTTGTTTTCCTGGAAACAACAAATTAGCCCTCCCCCACAATGGAGATCAGTAACATTTAACTGAGGTTGAATGCTGGGTGAAGTGAAATGGTCTTTGATGATCTCCTGCAGGCCATGATGCAAGAGGATTTACCAAGGTGGTACCTAAAGTAACCCGGAGCTATGTTATGTAGGGCCTAGAAGCCTACTGACAGCCACTGAAGTGACTTCAGGAGAGACACTGTCTTGTGTTTGCATAACAAGCTTAATCAGATCTCTTAAAGACCTAGCAGGCTTGTTTGCATATGGTTAATGCATGATTCAGTGTATTGTAGAATCCATATATTAACTGGGTCAAGATGTAGCATGAATTCAACCCTAGCAAGGGGGAGAGTGATAACTTAAGCCAGCCTATACATGTTCCCATGCAAAACAGACCAGATCTCACCCAGATTTGATTCTCAGTCCACAGACATGACTTTACTTCAAAGGAGACTCATCGAAGCTGGTTTGAGTCATTGCATTGATGGCATCTGACCCCCAGATGCTCCTCTGCTGCTTGCTTGAGCAGTACAGCCCTACTTAGGAGAATCAGCTACAGTTCTGTAAAGAGACTGGGAAGCTGCGTAGAGGGCCCTTGTGTCAGCAACTCCCTCTTGCTTTCAAATAATTATGAGAAAGCCTTACTTCAGCAGAAGGGAGCTGATTTCGAAGGATTGCATCAGGAAAGTACAGGGACTGAGCTGTTGATGGGGAGGTGAGGAGTGAATTCCCCAGTGTCCTTCCCATCTGCACAGCCAGAGTTAATAGCTTAATTCCCCTCCCTTCTTGGCCAATGCCACAACCTGTTCAAACTTTTTCACCATGTGTGACACTCTTTCCATCCCTGCTGACACCCCAACTTATTCCTTCTGTGGCAATTTAAATAAAAACATGTACCAGCTTCTCCCTTGACATCCACAGGGGCTTCTGGGAATAGGCAAGACATAGATACACACGTTCGTTTCACCACCTAACCACTCCTTATGTGTGCACCCACCTGCTTCTGTGGAACATTCATAGTTATACAGGAAAGGATGGGCCAACTCTGTCTTCCTAACTAGACAGTTTCTCTTCTGCCTAGTGTCTGGCAGAAGCTCAAAGCACTAATCTCTGGGTCTGACCTCCAGCAAGCAGAACAGATCCATTTGTAAGCCTGCGAGGAACATCTAGGCCCATTGTTGCAAGGCAGAGACGTGCAATGCAAGCTTTCGGGATGCGCATGCCCCCAAAAGACTTGGGAGTGGTCCCCAGAGCCTCTCCCCACGTTGTCACCAAATCAGAGTTTCTAATGGGACCTAAGAGGGTAATTATTGATTACACGGAGGATTGTCATATTAGCTCTATTGAATTCCATACATTTATATGCACTGTAAATGACATCAAATCTAATTTTGTTTCTGTCCTCCCCTCCCCTTGTCCTACAAAAAGTTGCTTAGCTCTGCTGGAATGCAGCTTGAGTACATCATGAGATGGGGGATGGCTTTGTGATTTGGATAGAATGAATATTCCTGGAAAGAGGATTCTAAGTTTAGGCCTTTTTTTTAAGCTTAGTTTTCTCCCACTGGATCAGAAATGCCCTCCTCCCCATTATCTTCCTTGCTCAATATTCTACATTTGTGCTGGTTAATGACTGCACTAAAGTTTTCAGTTTCACTACTCCACAAACAACTTCTCATCTGAAGTGGTTGGAACTCATCATTCCTGTTAAGCAAAGCCTAAACAAAAATGCTGCTTTGTAGGTTATTCTTTCTCTCTCTCCTGGAACTGTGAAGTCCCAGTGATTGAAAGTAAAGAGAGGGCTTTCTCTGTGGTGACTCCTAGACTATCAATTATCTTCCTAGATTTCATGTATGAAACCAATATCTGTTCCGGAAATTCCAATCAGAGCTACACCTCCATCACAGGATATTGTAACAGACCCGTCTTGCATTTTCCAGAGATTTTTTTTAGTGCTTTATTTTAATGGTAAACCTTGGACATATCCTTATTTTTTGTTGTGAAATCAGTTGCTCTATGATAGAAAACGTGGGTTAGAAATGCGACTGCCTTAAGAATTTAAATCTGTGGGCCCACTTCAAGATTGTAGCAGCTCTGTTTCTGGGATCCAACTGTGTTTCAGCCTAGCTGGTTGGCCTCTTGCTCAACTTTACAATTCAGGTTTCCCTGTCCAAATGAATTTAGCCTCCTCCTGACAATGTCCCGCAGTGGCCATATCAGAAGGGAGAAAGGTTTTCTAAGCAGCCAGAAGAGTTGGGAATCATGGAGAAGTCATGGGGTCACTGATCTTTAAAAGGAAGCAGGGTTTGTGCCTGTCTGTAAATGGAGGAATTTGTCCCCCCTGGAAGCACAGCAGAAGCTGATGCTTCTTGCTGTAGGCTCGGAAGGGATTGTTGGAATGCTCTTTGTCAAGGCTCAAAGACATTCTTGGGTCAGTTGCAGGGCAAAGTGGCTCAGGAGATTAGCATGGTCTCTCCCCCAGCCCTGCTTCACTCAGCTTTCCTTTCTGTTCCTTCCCCTGCCAGACAGTCTGGGTCGAAGGTGAGTGGGAACCTTGGAACCAAATGCCACTCCCCAGAATGAAGGAGCAAATTCACAAATGCCTTGCTGGGGTGGTACTCTGCCAAATGTGCATCCATACCATGGAAGGGTATGCCTTGTCGAAAAATAAGGCCACTAAGCCCCAGTGGGAAGAGTTCATGCAGCAAGGCAAGCTGTCAATGAGAGTACAAGGCTGGGTTCCCCTTACAGACATCAAAGCATCATGTAAACCTTCCAGATATGGATGTCAACTCCCAGAAACCCTAGCCGTGGCCATCCTGGTTGGGGAATTCTGGGAGTTGAAGTTCCCAGATCTAGAAGGCATCCAGGCTGGGAAAAGCTGTATAAGCTAAAGCCAAACTCACTGCATTTTTGGTTTCAAGGCAGGGTTAAGAGTGGGAGATAAACCATCATTCCAATCCTTAGCTTACCCATAGAAACCTGAAAAACTCCATGTTGCATTTCTGCAGGGCAATTTCAGGGATCTGGAGGGGGTAAATGGGATGTAGGAGGCCACACTGTTCCCCTGATTTTTAGAAGATGGCCTTGGATACACTTTGTCCTCTTGAACTGCTTTTTACTGTATTTCCAAATAGGAATGCAAACTAGTAGCTACTGCTAAAGTAAATTGCAACTAATGGCAGAAAAGAAGTAAAAGGCAGAGTTGCGAATGGCCTAGTACTTGGTGCAAACCTTAGTGTAAGAGGCAGGTTTGAAAATACAATGCTGGTTGGAGGTGGAGACCACAGCCATGTTGTGCTTGCAAAGAAGAAACCACAACAAAAACAACTTTTCTTCTTCACTGGCTGGGAGAAGCAGCAACAGCCAGTCATTTCCATCTGTTTTCTCCTTGTTTGCCCAATCCAAGCATAGTAGCATAATCATGCTGGAAAAGTTACAATATGCAGAGTATTTTCATGCAGAACATTCTCTTCCTTGCTGCTTCTCTCTCACCCCATTATTTTTTTACCTGCTGCTTTGGAATATCTTTTAGCATTCCACTCACAAAGCCCCTCAAAGGGCAAAAGGAGGGGAAGGGTTGTATCTGAGCAAGCTATGTCAAGAATTCACTTTTCAGTCAAGGGTCTCAGACAGGAAAAATAACTGAAAGGGCTGGGCCCCACTGTTCACAGGGCCAAGTCTTTGAAGCCAAAATCCAGCAGGTATCTCTAAGTGCTCAAGAACTGCTGGCCAGCATAATTTTAAAATGTTGCACATGGCTCTCAAATGTTAGAGCCGCTGAATGCTTGAGAATGATCTCACCCTCCAACCAAGACTTGGCCTCCCTTTGAAATGCAAGAAGTTTGGGGTGTTGATATAGATCACCTCTCTTTGGTTCCATCTGTCACTGAACCTATCGTCATAAGCTGTGCTGGCTAGACATTTGGTTAATTTATTCGAAAGGTGGGCACTTCATAAACCTCAGTTGGGCTTTTAAAATTCCAAACAAGGAGGAAACTAGCATCTAGTAAGATAACAGCAGAACTGCAGTTCAAAGGCAGGTGGGCCCCACCATGGGAGAGGAGTAAAACATGAGCTTCAGAAGCCCATACGACATTTTCCATTCTGCTTATGAGTCACTGATAAATAGATCCATTCTACTTTTAATGGATAGAGAATGTGGTAGATTAAAAACAGCGCAAATATAGCATATTTAAGTAAAAAATTAGAGCTTGCTTGCCTGCCTTCCTCCAAATCTTTAAGATGTAAACTTGGGTAGAGTCTTTTTCCCCCCCACTGATATTCCTACAGGAGAATCTCTGCAAAAGCTGTGAAGTCCTCCTGTCAACAGAGTCCCCAATTTCCTGTGCTTTCATTGCAAATGTGAAGGCAACAATTTCAATGGAAGGGGAAAGGCAAAGTGTGATTACACCCTCTTGGACTTGCTGTGCAAGGGCGAGAACACAACCCTACCTTTTTAGTCTTCACTGTTGAGACACAACAATCTCCATCATCATAGTTGCAGAAGGCTCGGTTGTTGATTGCATCACAGTAGTTGTCTTCCCCAAAGGGCTGAAAAGGCGGGGGGAAAAGAGGCAAGGCCCTGTCAAGTTGCTTGTTAGCAAACATCAGGGCTCAGGCTCGCTCGCGCGCTCTCTCTCTCTCACTCACACACACACCCTCCCAGAATGACAAGTGAGAGAGGCAAGTCATCTTAGTGTAAAAACCAGCACTGTTCTAATTCCCTCTCTATATGTGGACTTCTATGTGTGTTGCTCCTTCAGTAAGTTTGATAGCCACAGCTTGATCTCATTTCTTCTCTCCATGACCTTTAAGGATGACTGCAAATCACTTGCATGCCCAGATTCAGATTTTCTACAGCAATGGGTAAGGTTTTCTTCCCACTATAATCACTGAACTTAGCCATTTATCCTTTTTGGTCATCACCATGCACAGCATCAAAGCATACAAGACAGTAGAGTTTGAGGTGGCTCTTCTGAGCATGGAAAGTTTAGGAAATGTGTTTTAAGATCTGCATGAGTGTTTTGGAAAATGATGGACTTTGGGCCTATAAAATAAAGTAAATAATCCCTGCTGCAATTTTTTGCTTGTTTCCATCCTTGTTTTACAAATCCACTGCAGACTTTGGCAGAGATGTTGCCCTCTGGCTTTCATTGTTAAAAACAAGTGATGGGGTTTACTTAAATTCCTAATCTTCGTCCAAAATGGGAGGAAACATATCCTGGGTGTCAAGTAGAAATCAAGGAGACCTGGGTTCAAATTCCCCTGCTCAGCAATGAAACTTACTAGAAAAGACTCTTACTTCTACATCTGAACAATGTTAGGAAAATATGAACCTGGGATGCACAAAAGCCATGCATGGTGACTCAAGCAACTATGCATGCATACGATTATGGTCCATTAAGGACAACTTTCTAAGAAAGAACTTTTAATGCTTCTGGGCTTGCAAAGTGAAAACACAGTTGCAGGGAGGATGCGTGTTCCATGTCGTTCACTCCCCCTCCACACCTTTTATTCCTCAGTGGAGATACGTGTCATAGTTTCAGTGATGAAACCATCTCAGATACATGTATATAATTGTGAACACTGCAGCCTATAATGTTCCACTTTTCCATTTCTGGGAAAAAAGAGCAGAGAGCATCCCCATTAACTGTATGGAGTGTGTGAGAATGTGTGTTATACAAATAAGAGCATTGGGCTGTCTGAAGAACAATCAGCAAGGATAGTTTGGTTCTCTCCTCTTTCTGAAGAGCCAAGGTCAAGCTCATACACACTCATATTTCCAGAGGACAGAGACATATTTCAGACCCTATTGTGTGTGTGTGTGTGTGTTTTAAATCACCATTAGTGCTTCCCTTTATCTATGTAAAAAAATCTCTCACTTGCAGCTCTCTCCTTTTTGTGCCCAGGAAGGAGAGCTAGCACTGTGTGTTTTAGGTGACAATAAACTGTTGTTACACCGCTCTGTTGTCTAGGATCCCTCTGAGACTTTCTGAGCCCAGCCCAAGTTCATATTTTAGGTGGGTAGTGGGCAAAAGAACTTACTCAAATTGGGAAGCAAAACATTAAAACGGTCAAAGGAAGGAGATATCCAGCCCTTTGATTCTCCAAATCAAAGGATCAGTGCAGGTGTGTAATCTTCCATGGAAAAGAAAAGAAAGGAATAACACCATCACAAGACTTTCCAGATGTAGAATGGATATAGATTCAACCTTATACATCTGTTGCAGAGTCCTTGGTGCTCTGAGTTCGGTTGTTTGCTTGGAGATGTTTCACTACCCAACTAGGTAACATCATCAGTGCTAGTGAGTGTGGGGTTTGCTCCTTGTTTTATACAGTAACTTGTCCTGCCAATGTTGGTGGAAGTGTGGTTTTTCTTCTTGGCAGTTCCTTGATTAGGGCATTGTTTTCTGCTTGATTGTTTGTCTGGTATTAATCCCTGCTTATCTGGGTGTTAGTTGCTGGAGAGGATGTGTTCTGGTCTTCTTGTTTCCTCCTTAGCTTTTTTTTATTATTGTCTCTTTTGAATGATGTGGTTTGTGTGTCTATTGATGACTGATTTGTCTGAATGCCAAGCTTCCAGGAATTTCCTAGTGTTTTTGGATTTAGCTTGGTCTAGGATGCTCAGTTTCCCAGTTGAAACTATGGTTGGGTTTGTCCATGTGTTGTAGATTAGGGAGTTTTAATTGTGTCTTTTGACTGCTAGTTGGTGTTCATGGATGCGCTCTGCTAGTCTTCTGCCTGCCTGTCCTACATAGTGGCTGTTATAGTCCTTACTCTGTATGTTGTAGCTGACCCCTGTTTTTTCTTCTTGGGCTATGGGGTCTTCTAGCTTACTTAAGATGTTTTGGAGGGCTTTGTGTGCTATGGTGATGCTGTGGGTTGCAATAGTTTGCTGGTTGTTTCTGAGATGTTTTTAATGTATGGTCCGTT